CCCAGCCACTGCCTTTCGGGGTCTGGCTGATGACCTCTGGGGTGAGACAGCTCAGGAAGGGACCGAGCATCCTTGGTCCCCCGCATCCACTGCTGCATCCTGGGCTCCCCTGCAAAGGCAGCAGGGCCGCCTTTCGGCTTGTCAGCCCACCAAAACTCCCCAGCCATGGGGTGATCTTTCTCTCCCACTCCAACCAGAGGACACATGGGGACACGTCCTAGCCCAGTGAAGTCACCAAGTCTGGGGGTCTCAGCAGTGCTGCTGGGAGAGCCCAGCCAGCATGGCCGGTTTGCAGGGCAGCACCCCACCAGAGCTGAGTTTGTCAGGTCTCAGCCTAGCAGTGCCAGCTGGTATGGGTGGGGGACAGGCCAAAGGGGGTCTCAGGGGTGGGACAAAAGCAGCTGGGGAACGTGGGGACAGGCAAAAGTCACCCAGAGACTCTGCAGCAAGTGCGCTGCTCTGCCACCCTGCCCTGCACCCTGGCCCCACAGCTCTGGGGACTCTTGGGGTGAGCCCAGACCCTGCCCGGCCATCAGGCCAGACCCAGCCACCCCAAGCCCCTGTGTCTCCAGTCTGCTGTCCCCTCCGGTGTCCCTCCCATCCCCATCTCTGCCTCTTGTGTCTGCCGGCAGCTCAGGGCCAGCTCCCAGCCAGTGCATGCATGGAGGGTGTCCTCATGCAGGCTGGTGGGGGGGGGGGGGGGCAGGTGTCATCATTATTTTTGTTTTCTTTGCACTGCCCTGGAAATATATTGTATTCTCAGCTAATCCCGTTCAATTACACCACAATAAAACACATAATAAAAACGTAATTCATTTTTCCCGAGCGCTCCATCTCCCTGTGTCTTGGCAAGCTATTAAAAATTTGTCTTCATTTTTCTGGCAAGAGCCTTGTACCTTTTCATCTTTAATTTATGAGAGCAGAATAGCTACTGACAAGCCCTTATTGCGCGGCGAGGGGCTGCATTATTTATAAGCCGCCAATGGCTGGCTCAGGGGAGATATTTGCAATATGCCGGGGCTGGCAGGAGGAGGGGGACAGATCCCCGACATGCCTGTCCCAATCCACTCCCCCACCCTGGGTGGGTGCTGGGTGCAGGTGTCCCCCTGGCTGCCACCGAGGGGGGGGGGCAGCCCCCTGCCCCCCCTCAGCCCCTGCCCACCGGGGAAGCTACGGCACAGGGTGGCTCTGGGCTGCCTGGCCCTTATCTCGCCAGCTGCTGCCTCTGCCCATCCTTGGCTTTGCAGCAACTCTTGCTCCTCCGTCCCGGCTCGGTGCAGGGACTCTGCAGAGCGTGGCCGCTTCCATCCCACCTCTCCTTGCATGGGCATCCATCGCTCCTTCTGACTGCCCTGGCCTGTGGGTGACGCAGCCGCTGCCTGCAGGCTTGCCAGGGTCCCATGACAGCAGTGACGTGCTCTCCGATAGCCGTGCATAGAAAGCAGGATAAAAACGTCCTCGCTGGAGAGGCAGGCATAGGCCTGGGGCCAGGATTGAAGCAGAGTACCCTGTGAGCAGGCTGTGAGAGGGGGTGGGAGCGTGGGCAGAGCCGGGGGGACGCTCCGCTCTCTCCAAACCAGCAGCATCCAGGGCAGCAGCTTAGCAGAGCCCTCTGCGCGGCAGCGAGGTGCAAAGCCTTCGGTGCTAAAAAAAGCCCTCTCGACAGCTGGATGAGCTTAACCACACACTGAGCCAGCCAGTGCTGCTGCAAAGGCAGCGGGCTGGAAAATGGGGAGCCGAGACCGGCCTTGGGGGGCACAGGGGCACCCCGGCGGCTGACCTGCCCCTCCCTCCCGCTCCCACCCTCACCCTGATGGCAGTCCCTTCCCACCAAATACAAACTGGCAAGCAACATGCTTTTCTTTGCTTTTGGTTTTGTATAAACAACCTGCCTTTATTATTTGGTATATATAGGTACATTATACATATATCAAAAATAACTAGAGGAAACCACGGTGCACTTAAAGCTATTTGAGAAGGTCCACCTGAAAGCAAGCACTCCAGGAGGGGGTAGTCACCCCTCGGGGGGAGCCCAGCCCTGAACAGAGATGGCATTAAAATGAGAATAAAAAGGGGGACTCTCTGCTGGGATTAAAATGTGCCATTTGCTCTGGGGATGGAAGGAGCAGAAAGCCAGATTAAATCCCCGGAGCAGCTCAGAGGAGAGCACAGGGTGATCTGAGAGCGCATGCCCGGGCTGGGAGAGTCCCCCCCGCCACTGGGTTCGAGCCACTGTGTGCCCTTGAAATCACTCACCCCTGGTTTTTGGGAGGGGAAGTTTTCCTCTCCAGGAGTGACTCTGCCATCCCCAGGGGCCAGCCACCAAACCCCTGGGGAACA